GAATTTTAACAAGGTTCTCAAAGGCATTTGGAGAAGCAGCAAATGTAAAACTCCAGCTGCTGCTCAGAAGGGACCACATTCTGTGGGCTCCTCTTTGTTCTGTTTGGGGTTTTTCTGATTTGCTTTGTGCTCAGGAGCCTCCTCAGTTTGCTGTGTCCTTGCAGCCTGAGGGGTGCCAGCTTTCCCAAGCACAGAAAAGAAAGTCCTGCACTATTTTCTATCTCCATGGAAGCTCAGCATAGTTTTCTGTGGCTTTTTGTTTGGTTTTTTTTCCCTGCTGGCCTGACCTTTTTTCAAGTCTGCTACCAGACTTTCTGAAAGTGCCTCTTCCTTTTTTTTTTTAACCATTTCTTAATTTTCATTTCATATCATGCATAATCATTCTGTACACGAAGAGCTCTTGCAATGGAAGTTACTCCATAATCTATTTTTATTTTATTCCCAGAAATAAGCAGTAATACTTAAAGTAAGGACTGTGCTGGGGGTAATACATTTTGTGATGAGTTTTTTCTGACTCTCTTCTGCCCATTTTAATTATTTTACAGCTGTGGTGGGACAAATGCAGATTTTGAACCCACAGCAGTTGCCAATAGCAAAGTTCATCTGAGGAAAGAGAGCCAGGGTAGCTCTGCAGGAAGCAATTTCCTCCTGGTAGGAGTAGAAATTTTCTGGCTCCTTTTGGGAAGGGATAAAGGCTTTGTCCATCCCATTTGCTCATTCCCATCTTCACAAGTAAAGCAGCAAAAGGGGTAGAAAATCAATGATTTGGCTGGTGCAGAATGGTCAGGATTGGCTCAAAGAGCTGATAGGAGCTGATCAATTCATAATCCATCAGACTGTGTGTGAAGCCAGACAGGGTGTGTCTGCAGGAGCTGTTCCTGCAGGTTTGCACAAGCAGGAATATTTGCCTGTTGCTGTAGTTGAATGCAGAGGAGAATGTTTGTATGGGGGGAGGAGACATTCATTGGCAATTTCAGTTTCTATACTGTTTAATTTACAAATATCCTGGAAGGAAATGAGAAGCTTTTTGTACCTAAGACAAATTTTTTTTTTTAGTTTTGTTTTATTGGATAAGATGCATAATAGATGGGGGGAGGGCTATAATCTTATTCTACCATATTTAAATGCTTCTGTGGTGGTTTTAGATGATAAAACAACAGATTTTAAGCAGGAGCACTCTCACCCTAATTTACAAATGCAAGCCTTCCTCCCAGCTTGAGTTCTGGAGCAGTTGGATCTGAACCCACAATGATGTTCTGAATCTGGAGCCTGCTCTGGAGCAGTGTGGATTTGACAGAACAAACTGATTTTCAGCTCAGCACTTGAGGAAGCTCATTGAGCCCTGAGCTGCTTGTAAGGGCCTGGCAAAGCCTCAGATCTGTGAACAAGGAAAGTTTTTGTTCTCCCCTTTCCATGCAGCAGCAGCCCTGACTTTCTTAAGCAAGAAATATTGCTAATAAAATCTGCTGGTGCAATGATAAAACATGGGAACAGCTACAGATCTGGCAAATCTCCTGCAGCAGATTTGGAATTGCTTTTCCTCAGGAGGAAAAAATCACCCAGTACAGCCTGTGATTCTTCCATATGTAACAGGATTTTGTTCCTCTTCTAATTCTTAATTAGCAGCACTGGCAAACAGTTCACAAATTGGCTTTAATTTGACAGCCCTCCTTGATCATTATCCCAGCTGGACCAGAAATTGTGTTAACCACTTTGGGGAGTGTGTTCTGATTTATTTTTTGGTTTGTTACCACATTAGTGGATGTCCATGGGCTGTGTTCAGCAGCCAGTGAAGCCCAGAAGGAAAAGGCTGATGCTGAATTTCCAGAGCTGTGAATCCCAGCTGGGCACAGCTCACAGGTGCTGTGGGTTTGCTCAGGGGGGGATAAAAAGGTTTTGAAGGAAGAGTTCAGACTTTTATCTGTCTGCTGCAATGACACCACTTTTCCAGTTAAATAAGCAATTCACTGCTCATTGCAGTAAAGCTTTTTTTTGTTCTGTGTGGTGTGAGGTTTCTTGTTTTTATTTCCATCAATATCATCATTACTTTCTGCTCTCCTCACTCCTCCTATGAACCAAACTAGCATGGAGTGGATTTGGGATTGGATTAGAGCTTTTCAAAGCAGTGGCTTGGACCAGGAATAGTTATTTTGCTTTAAAAACTATGACTGGATGTTTAGTGGTTTATTTCCTCTTTAATTTAAATTAACACAATAGTTTAAGGTTGTTTTGCTACCCAATAAAACAGCCAAAAGCCTGAAAGTCCCACTGCTATTTTCCTGATCTATCCCTTCCTGATTAATGTAAATGAAGTTTAAAAAAACAGGTTTCACACCCCTGTCATTTATTGTTTCTCACCACAAATTCAATTTCTTTTTTCACAACCTCACTTCCTGCAGTGCCAGATGTGCTGCTGCTCCTAAACACCCCGCTCCAAATCCTGACCCAATCTTTAGGAGCAGATTTCTCAATCCTGGGCTGCCAGGCTGCAATCCACAGGTGAGCTTCCCAAATCCTGTGGGAGACAGAGCCAAAATTCCCATCTGTGCTTCCAGAGATGTTGTTTATTCTTGCTTCAGCTGCAGCAGAGATTGTGAGGATTCCTGTTTGCTCCTTGCTTTGCAGCAGCATTGAGAGGATTCCTTGCACCATTAAAGCCTCCCAAGCCCTTCCAGTGGGTTGGTTTGTGGAATTTGTTGGGTTTTTTGGAGCTGCACAAAGCACCTGAGTGGCTCAGGGCAGCCTTTCCTTGCAGTGCTGTTAATTTGGGGACAGACATGCTGGAGCTGGATTGTCACCTGACAAAGGATGAGCAAGTGGTTGTGTCCCATGATGAGAACCTGAAGAGATCAACAGGAGTTGATGTCAACATATCTGACCTCAAATACTCGGTGAGTTGAGGAGGAAATGGGCTGGGGGGTGTTGAAAAGTGAAATTGTGGGGTGGGCAAGGGGCTCTGAGTGCCCAAAACCAAAGGGGAGGATTCACCTCAATAAAAAACCCAAACAAAAACCCACCTATTGGAATATGAATCCCAATATAACCAGTTAGATGGTGCCTGGGCCAGTTCTGACCCTCGCTGCTGGGCCCAAGGCAGCACTGTGGTGCTTTACCCCAGAGATACCTTGGCTGCTGGAGATTGCAGCAGGGCACTGGTGCAAGTCCAGGCTTGTCAGGGCCTCCATTTACCTCAGGAGAGAGAGCTTCTGGCGATGGTGAAGAGAAAAAAGGAGTGGATTCTGCTGGAGGGTTATATCCAGATGTTTATTCCATGGGTGCAGAGGTCTGCACCGGGACAATTCCTCCAACAGAATGCGGCCGCATGGTCTCATTCACCTTTTAAGCTCAGGGCAGGGGAAGGGGAGGGGACAGGTGAGCCACCAACCAGGTGAAGGGGCAGGGTCTCAAGGGACTGGGGACACCTATCCAATGTCCCCCAGGCCTGAGGGACCAACCACACGACGCCTTGCTGGTATGTCAGCCTGATTGACAGGGAACACTCAGCAAGGGGCGAGGGGGAAGGGAGAAGGGAATATTGGCACACCTGGGAAGGGACCCGGAAGTTTAAAACAGGACATTGCAACACACCACAACACCCACCCCAACCTAAACCACCCTCACTGAGCTCCCAGTGCAGTCAGGAGATCACAGCTGGCACCTTCCCAGGGGGATTCACTCCTCAGCATCAGCCTGGCTCGGTGGCTCTGCAGCTGGCATGGTTTGTCACACCGATGGCACAGGGACAAAAGCATAAAAGCTCTTCCTGGTGTCACCAGATTTTTAGTGGGAAAACTGAGAGATGGATCCCCTCTGCCTCAGCAATGGAATTTTCAGAATTCTCAGTAGAATTTCCAGAATTCTCAGACATCTGGCAAAGTTTTGCTTTGTTCCCTTACAGCTGACACAAATCTAAGAATGCCAGACAGTTCAATTAATACTGAAAGTGGTGCTACTAAACCAGATTTTTGGATGAGGAAAGTGGCTTGTGAATTATGATTTTTTTTTGGTCTTTTGGGAGGAGGGTCATGATTATATCCCTGCATTTGAATTGATGTTCCATTCCTCTTTATTTTTAAGGAACTTCCACCCTATCTCTGCAAGTTGGATGTCACTTTTCAGAAAGGTGAGATGTTTGTCTCTTGCTGTTTCAATTTTCCATTTGGCAAAGGGAGTAAAAAAGTGCATTTTCTTCTCTCAATACCATGACAAAAGAAGTTTCAAAAGAAAAATATAACCCTGGCTGTAGAAACCAGTGCAGTAGTTCCTGTAGGTATGAGTTCAGAAGGAAATTTTCTTCTCATTTTGTCTTTTTCACATGAATCTCATTGCATTTGGTGTGTGGTAACTGAGCCTGTTTGCTATTTCAGGATTTTAATGTTGCCTGCACTCCTACTGTTGCTAAATAACGAGTGAATTTCATGAAGTTAAAACCTGAATGTGCAACATGCTCAGGGCATTTTCATGATGAAAATGAGCTTGTCATAGTTAATTATGTGTTTAAAAATGTGATTATCCTTGGAACTTTATTAAAAATATAAAGTTTGAAGGTGTTGAGTGCTCTGCCATTTCTGCTTTTATCTGTGATTTGTTCAAAGTGACCACAGCAGTGAGAAATTTCTTGTTTCCCCAGAAAGTCAGTGTGAGGGGACAGACAACCGAATCCCACTGCTGCAGGAGGTGTTTGAGGCATTTCCAGAGACTCCTGTCAACATTGACATCAAAATGAACAATGATGTGTTGATCAGAAAGGTACATGGGGCCTGCTGAGCTCACACTGAGGCAGGGCAGTGCTGCTTCACTTGATATTGATATATCAACACCTTGATATTCCAGAGGTTTTTTTGGAGTTCTGGCAGTCTGTGACAGCCAGATCTGTGTTCTTGGACTGCTTCACCCTTCTCATGTTGGGTCCTGCTCTCTGTGTGAGGTAATAGAGGAGACAGAGAAGGGATCTTGTGCAAGATATTCTGTAAAAGCTCTTCAGGAGCCTTCATCTGGAAGAGAAACAGCTCCAGCACTGCTGGAGACCTGTTTGCTTTGTACCTCGTGGGAAGGGTCCTCTTAGGGACTGCTGCTCCCCAAAGCAGCATAAAAAAATATGTTATTGTGTAGATAGTGATGATGTGAACATATCTGACCTCAAATACTCAGTGAGTTGAGGAGGAAATGGGCTGAGAGGTGAAAAGTGAATTTGTGGGGTGGGCAGGGGGCTCTGAGTGTGCGTGGTGCCCAAAACCAAAGGGGAGGATTCACCTCAATAAAAAACCCAAACAAAAACCCACCCCTAACATGAAAGTCCCTGTGCAGAGAGTAAGAAAGTAGAAAGTAACCTCTCAACACAGAGGGAAATCTTTCCAGAAAATATTATTTTTGTCATTTAGGTTCCTTGAATTCTTTAGGGTTTTTTGTAGCTGTAATCTGTTGTCCTGAACCTGTTTATTTCCCATCAAAGCATCCCAACCACCTCATGATGGGGACAAAGTACAGAACTCTTCCCTGCAATGATTTCCAAAGCAAGCAGAGTTTCAGTTCAATAATTCTGCATTTATTTCCAGTGGCTCCAGGTGAGAGCTGTGCTTTGTGTGTGCAGGTCTCAGAGCTGGTGAGTCGCTACAAGAGAGAGCACCTGACCGTGTGGGGCAATGTCAATTATGAGATTGTGTGCAAGTGTTTCAAGGAGGTAAGGCTGAGTCCAGCTGAGCTTTGGTGCTGTGTGCTCACAAATCCTACAGAAAAACACCCTGCAAATCAAGATTTAACCAGCTAAGCCAGGCTTCCACTCGTGGTGAGAAATTCTGTGCTCAGATTGTTCTGCTAAAATAAGACAAGCACAGATAACACTCCTCTACCCTGCCATGAAATACTTGAGGAATTCAGCTTAGTCATGTTTTATTCTTGTTTTATGAAATATAGGGCATTGCAGTTTTATGCCAGGAGTTCTTAGAAGCCTGCTTTGCTCATCATTCATCTGATAAAAAGCAATTTTCCCAAGGATTGCTGATTGTCTGTTTCTTTGCATGAAAATAATGGATGTGGCCACTAGTGGACAGAGTTGCATCAGCACCAAGCTGTTCTTTCACAGCTATCATTCTCCTCCTCCTGCTGAGGAATTTTACAATTTAGAATTAAATTAAAATTGTGCTTAGTCCAAGGGAGTTATGCACCTGAGTGAAATCCATCTTATTGACAGTTCAGTCTAGTTGATTATTTCAATTTATCAGTGCAGGACAACACCCCATTTCCTACCTGAACAGCAGTTAAATTTATTCACATAAGCAGCTTCATCTCAGGTGTGACTGCTGAACTTCAGCCATGCATTGATGAGTAAATTGAATTGCAGCAGAGTCAAAATCTTCCAAGCTAACTGAGAATCTCTTTTGTGCTCCTGCAGAACTCTGACATTGCCACCATCTTCTGTGCCCAGCGTGTGCTCCTGCTCCTTGGCCTGTTCTACACTGGGCTGCTGCCCTTTGTGCCCTTCCAGGAGGAATTCTTTGAGATCCCCATGCCTTCCATCATCCTCAAGTGAGTTACAGCCACTGCTGATCCCTGAAGCCTCCCTGAGCTGATTTTTTGGGGCTGAGTTTCCTTTTCTGTTGGTTTAGGCACTTTTGGATATTGCTGGGAGAATTCTGTGCACAGTAATGCACAGCAGTTCTGTACTTACAATAAATTCTTGTTCTTTTCTCCTCTTTTCTTGAGAACAAATTTATCTGATAGGGCCAAGAGACAAGCCAGCAGTAGAGTGGAAATGAGATTTCACAATCTTTCTCATTCTTCACTCAAAATGCTGCAGAATTCTCATCTCTGCTGCTTCTCTTAAACGTGGCTCATTTCTCTTGTATAACCCAATTCTACGTCACTGTCTTGAGCAGTGAAATTACTGCTCTAATTTCAGCAAGATTAATTCTTTATGTTCCTTTTGCTGGAACATCTCAACTAAGATTTTAATCTGTGCTCTGCTAATTTTTGGTTTTCTTTTCCTCAACAGGCTGAAAGAACCAGAGAAGATGTCAAAAAGCCAGAGATTTGTTATCTGGCTGGCTGACACGTAAGATTTTTGTCTGATTTAGTTTTTATTTATATTTTGCTTTTATATTAATACTTGACTCAACTTAAATTAGCTATTGCTGTATCTATGCATTATATATTTTCAGTTCCTTCCAGCTTTTTGTCAGTGCAGGATAAATCAGATTCAAATCTTACGTAGGTGTGCTTTCTGCTTTTATTTTCCATACACAGGAGCTTTCTAAAGTGGGAATTATTCCAATTGTGTCTGTTAAGCTCCTGTCCTTAATTGTGCTCAGCTAATTAACATGCAATTAGATGCAGAATGCAGATTTTGTGGATGTGACTGTTTCATAATGTTGTCAGAGGAGAGGCACTGTTTGCCTTACAAGGAACATTTTGCATTTTGAGAATATCTGTGCTTCAGAGGGGATTTAGGCACAGCTTTTCAGTGTCTCCTGCCTCTGACATCTGATAGTTTAATTTCTCCAGGACATTTTCTTGTTTTCTGATGGGAAGGATAAAACCTCACCTGAAAGCAGAGTAGTTCATCAGACAAGGTGTAAGGTCCCTGCAGGGTGAAGGATTTCTCTGCTGGATTCAATCTTGACACTTGAATTATCTGAACAATTTCTAGAATTGGATTTCTCTTGTGGAAAACTCTACACACTGTATGTGAACTTCATTGTCATCAACAGACCCTGAAAATTCCAAATTTACCTGAAGTTGTTCATTAATTTCCCTCTCCTTTCTCAGGCTGCTGATGAGGAAGGCGCTGTTTGATCACCTCACAGCTCGGGGCATCCAGGTACAGTGGGCAAAGCTGAATTTGAGAATTCAAACACACCCAGCCTTGAAGGAGGTTCCTGTTCCCCACAAGTTCTTTGTGTTTCTGGGACCTTGAGTTGCTGTTTGGTTCCTGAGCAAAAGCTGCTGCTGTTGTATTTGCTGTGCTCTGGTTGCAAAGGAACATTTGTACACCTGGGGAAAAAAAAAAGAGTTTTTTCATTATAATCCCTTGAAGTCAAAATGAAGCCTATAAAATCTGCAAAAACTGGTTATTTGATGTGGGACTTTCACAAAATAATACTGACTTTTAAAAGGATACAAAGTCTGAGGTAGTGGAATTGGAGTCACCATTAGAAAATATTCCTTCTGGAAGGTGAAGGAGAAAAGTCCAGCATCAGTGTCATCATTTCTCATTTTAAATATGCAGCAGCATCTCTCTCAGATCAAACAATTTAGGTCAAAAGTCACTTTTTAAAAAGAAATTAGTATTTCCTGTAATAACTTGGTTGTTGTATCCCATTTCCCAGGTGTACATTTGGGTACTGAATGAAGAACAAGAATACAAGAGAGCGTTTGATCTTGGAGCCACTGGAGTGATGACAGACTATCCAACAAAACTGAAGGAGTTCTTACATAATTACCCAGCATGAAGGAAGAAAACTGAGAAAGTCCTTCCAGAACAGATTGTGAGCCAAGGATTTTCCTCACTAAAAACAAAAATAATTGGGGGCAGCATGCACAGATCATTTTTGTTGGAAAGATGTAACTGATGATCTGTTTCCTTGTTGTCAAATCACTACCTAATGTCAAGGTTGTCTATTTATTTTAAACTTTAATGACATAGTTTACATTTGTAAATAGCTCATTTAGTAACAGCACACTTCACAAATGATGATGATTAGGAAGAGAGTTGCCTGATAAGGTTCCTGTAGATAATAAGCATCATTTTACCTGTCACAATTGTTCCTAAGCAGCTGTCCAGACATGTCAGTTATTCCAGTTATATTCTAGTGAGCAGAAACTGAAGAATTTCTGAAAGTGTAGCCTGTGTGTTTGCATTTCTTGTGTTGCTTTTAGATTTCAGGTAACTTCTAGAGAAAAAAACAGATAAAATAAAGAAAAACAGGCCCAGGAGAAACAACAAAGCAGCCTCTGTGGCTGGCCAGGTAGTGACGTGCACTCAGTGAAGGTGGTCACACTTTTAGCCAGAATTAACTCAGTACAGATTTATTCCATTATTCTCACTGACAATAATGTTGAACTTGAGTTGGAAATGGATTTAGATGCTCTCTGAGGTGATGGCAATGCTGTGACCTGTTGGTCCAGGATTTAAATCAGGATCTGGGTTTGACACCAAGTTCCAGTGCAGGGTCCAGCTTTGCCCCTGCCTCTCATGGCAGGGGCTGGATTTCCAGGATGGAAAACTGCACTTGGTACAGATTCCACTCACTTTGAAAGAGCCTTTCCACCATGCCCTATAAAAACCTTTTGCACATTTGTGGTTCTTGATGAACAGGAAGTTGTGTTTTAGGGTGAGGGACCAAAGAAGACTTAAATTTGGTCAGGAGTTTCAGGGACAAATGAAAATGTTCCTATTAAATGAATTCACCCAGATTTTTGTGTATTTATAAAGGGAGGAAGTGTCAATCTAATGTGTATTGATTTAGTCTTTTCTCTCCACAAAAAATCCATTCAATATCCATCATGTTTATGTGCATGGATGTGAGAACAACTGGCACAAGCCAGGGGAGCCCAGTTAGGCAGGAAGGTATTTCTGGAAGCTTCCATGGTGTTCTGAGCAGGAGTTACCCCAGTGTCAGCCAGGTTGGAGCCTGCAGTGCCCTGGGTGTGCTCATGGCATGGCTGGGCCTTCAGGGCTTGGATTTTGTGCTTTAATGACCCCCAATGGCCAGAGCTCAGGCACTGCATCATCAGATGCTCTCTCTAAACAAGAGTTTGGCTCCAGCAGTGTCTGTTTCTTGAAGGGGTTTCATGTGAAAATAATAGATTTAATAATAAACACAGCAATCAGATGTGTTTTTACAGCAAGGAGCAGCCACTGTGCTAAAAACTGATTTTTAAGTTCTTTTTTTTTCCCCTTGGTAGCTCAGATTTGGGAGGGTTCTTGTTGCACCCCCTGGCTGCTGTGCCATATTTATAATTGTGGAGCATCTTTGCTGTTGCACTGCCTGTCAGGATGCCAAACCCATCTGCAGGGAGAGGCTTTGTTTCTGCAGCACAGCTCCTTTCTGAGGAATCTGTCTGGGTGAAATGGAAAAAAACCTGCAGCATTTAGGATTCAAGTGAACATGTGCTGATGGGGGCAGATGAGTTAATGTTGTCCTTTGGAATATCTGCCTGCTGAGGATGGCTGCAGATTCAATTTCCTCCTAATTTAATCAGCCTTGTTGCTTATTGAATGGAAGAGAGGAAAATGGAACTTGCTAACTGTTCATGGGGGGAAAAGGATGAAATTATTTATTAGCTACTAAAGCTTTCTGTTTCCCTCTCAGACCAGCTCTGTCTGCTCACATAAGTGCTAATAATCAGTCAGCTCTGCCTGCTTTTTAGAAGCCACAGAATGGTTATAGAAAATGTTCCACATGCAGCTCAGAAAATTAAAAAAAATTCCACCTTTCTGTCCCAATCTGGGTTTATTAGCAGTTTGTAGCTCCAGATGAGTTTTTATGCAATGTGGGTTTTTTAAATTCAGTTTTATTGCTGTTGAATTTGTAACACATGCACCAATATTAAGATGCAGATATAATGATGGTTTTAGAAAATTATATCAAAACCACATTAAAACTGATTTGTTTCAGTTAGGAGGAGCTAAGTTTTAAAATGCCAGTTTTGATCTCTGACTTACTTTGTATCAAATTTCCCTCAACACTCAATAAATACACAATTTTCCATTATTCTACATTGAATGATAAAACACAGGCACTGAAATTAGTGTTTTATATTTCATTTTAACATTTTAATTCTCTATTTAGTAGTAGAGATGGAAATTTCTGCATTCTAAAATTCTCCACACATTTTCCAACCCTGTTTTTGTTCTACATCTGATGGAGCTCCTGACTGTGCTGATCATACCTTGACCTCTCTTGGACAAATCTGCTGCTCAATATCTGGAATTGGGTTGGGAGGCAAAGGCTCCAGAGCTGGAAAAGATGGAAATAAATAAAGCTGGAAATAAATCCAGAGCTGGATTTATTCCTTCACCTCTGGGATTTCCACAAGAGCTCAGCTCTGATCTCATGGGACAGAAAATGTCCCAGGGGTGACTCCCAGTGCACAGGGCCCAAACACCACGGACTTGGGGGAACTCTAAAAAACAAACATTTCTTCTTTCCAATCTTGTTTGGAATATTCCAGAATCTCTGTGATTTTTTTATTTTTTTTTTTTTAAACCACTTGTACAGAAAAGCTTTTGTTGAGAACTTGCACAAGTGTCCAGGAGGATGTTCAGTTCATCTCTGTCTGAGGTGAGATTCTTTTCAGGTACTTTTAACTCAAAATATTGTTTTACCACTGTGTTCTCCACCCTGTTGGTGTATGAAGGATGACTGCATGGATTTCATGCATTTTTTAATTTGCAGAAACTCTTGTGGACCTCTCTAGCTCCAAAGCTATGCAGTGATTTCTCTTTTCATGTCAAGAAGGATTTGATGCTTTTGAAAAGTGGCACATTAAAACATCTTTGCTCATAAAAGGTCTAAAACTAAATGCTTGTTAGGTGTGACTTCTTTCCCTAAAAACCTCATTTCTGAGAGTTTTGTGTTTGCAATGTCCTTGGTTTGAGTTGGTGTTCTCAGGAATTCCACTTGCAGCAGCTTTCTGATGATCAGCAGGATAAAATTTCCTCTAATCCTGGAAACATTTTGGATTGCCATTAAATTACATTCAATATTAGGTTTTAAGGTCAAGTGTAATTTTGAAGCCTTGGGGGTTCATATTTAGGTGAGAGAGGTGAGCTGGGGTTTGTGTGTTACAATTTCCAGTAACTTTAAAGAATTTTTCCAGCACTGTGAGAGAATTTTCCAGATGGCTCTGGGTGCTGTTTGATTCCTTAAAACACTTCCGAAATGTTTGCTAAACCACAACAGGGAACTGGGGGACAGGACAGAATCTTTTAACATGGAAAATATTTATTTGTGATCACTTCAGGTGCTGCCACCTGCCATAAATCTGCAGCTCAAACAGAAAATTCAGAGCAAATTCACAATT